CTATTCTATTCTATTCTATTCTATTCTATTCTATTCTATTCTAACTAGGGCAAAAGAAGGCAAAGATGATATCAACAGTGACAAGTGCTTCTTCGAGTACAATCCCAAAACATCGGGAGTATCACTTGAATAGTATCATCATTGACAAAATCACTATTGGTCAATTACGAAAGGCAAGCTTTACATCAAACAGCTTACATCCTGCAACGATACCAACTAACACCATCAAACCACATCTGGCTATCCTAGGTTCCCGACAGATCCGTGGTGGCAAACCAGAGGTGGCACACGAGTCGTTGCCCAGTTCAGCTCTGCTGCGTATGTGTGCATGCCTCCCGCTGGCCAGCTGCTCTTTGGGCCTCTGCCGCGCATGCGCAGGGGAGTGTGGAGGGCTGTGTGTGCATGCAGAGGCGTGCATTTATGCGTGGGTTCACATGCTTGGCAGGGTTCGCATACACGGGTGCACACACATTGCATTTTGGGGTTTCAGGCCCGTGCTTTGGGCATTTGCCGCAAAAAAGTTTAGCCATCACTGCAACAGATGGATAAAAACACTAAATCCAGTCTAAACATCTGGCTGACTGCACCACCAGCTATAATAAGTCTAAACATCTGGCTGGCTGCACTACCAGCTATAATAACAACAGTGAGGAACCCAAATGGGGAGGGGGCGGTTTTATGCATTTCTTATAGACTCTGGTTGCAAACCCCCTGAAGAGAACAATAAGCAGGATAAAAATATATTCTACATTGTAAAGTTGATCCAGACCGGAAACGGGCTTAGAAATGGCTCCTAACACTGAGAAACTTTTTGTGATGGTTCATTATGTGAATAAGCCACCATCGAGTGGAAAAAAGCATTATATTTGCCAGTGTTTTTTTTCCACACACGCACATCCCCAACGTTGAATTTACGCTGTCCTGCTTTAGACCCCAAAAATGTTCTCCATCTGTGGTTCTTTCAAGTTTGAAAAGAAAGAGCAGATGACTGGTTTGGGTTAAGGATAAACATATCAATCATGAAACTGTGGCGCATACGCACAAAACATGTGCTAATATTCACAGATCATCCTTCAGATGCCAGTAAGAAAAGGAGGGGATCGGCGGCGCTTAAGGCGGCGGACAGGAAAAACGGGAATGAATGCCTATTTTTCTTTCTTTCTTTTTCCCAAGAAATAAAACTTCAGTGGGCTCAAGTGTTTTTCCCCCCAGGTGAGAGGTATTCAGCTCTTGTCAGCTAGCCATACCCTTTTCTGGGATTCGAACCTGGGTGACTTGTGTATTAGGTGGATGTAGTAACCTCTAAGCCACTGGCTCTCCTTGCTTTGTCGGCTACACCAGGGGAAAGATTAAGTATTTTTTTTCCTGTGAGACCAATCTATCAGGGAAAGCTGGTCTACCCAAGTATGGGACGGAGCAATACTGCTGCCACTTTTGCCTTTCAGCCCCAATCCAGGAGCCTTCACAGGCAGTCATTTCTGCAACAAACTATTTTTGTGTTGAATTTATATTTTATCGACAAATTATAGATTTATTTCAAGCTATTTAGCTCTCATCAGCTACCCATTTCTGGGGTTCAAACCCGAGTTACTTGCATATTAGGTATATGTATTATCTTCTAAGCCACGGGCTTTCCTTGCTATACCAGGGGAGAGATTAAGTGGATTAAACAAGAAGCTCCAGCAATATTTTGAATTTGATTAGGGAGAAGTCATTGAGAAGGAGCTGGAGTGTGAAAAAACCCCCACCCATTTTGTGATTCATTAAAGCAGCTGCAACAGAAGATGCTGCTTTAATGAGATTCACACTTGTAATTTGCCCTGTTTAGATGGTACTTACAACCATTCATTTAGTGACTGTTTGAAGTCACGACAGAACTGAAAAAAGTAACGCAATAATTTCTGCTTTACGCTTGGTCAGTTCTCCTTTTTCTACCCCAGGGGCTTAAGTTATCCAAGATGACTTACAACTGGTCTTCACATCATCTTCTTTTAATGACCCCATAATTCCTCACGGGGTGGAGTCTGGGTAACTGAATGGAGCTGATTATTTACTGGCCGGATGCTCTCCTGTCGCCAATGTGGAGTTTTTTTTCCAGCAGAGAGAAACATCTGCCTCTATCTAGGATCGAACTCCCAGCCTCCTGATTGTGAGGCAAGAGTTCCACCTCTAGGCCACCACACCACTCCACAACTGATCTTCACATGTACAACACAAAATCAAAATTCGGGCACTGGGCTATAGCGTCTTGGGCAGTGGTGGGTTCTTAACGGTTTGGCCCAGTTCGGTCAAACTGGTAGTGGTATGTCAGCCT